TGGCCGAATGAAAGAGAGAGCAAAAGAAGAAACAATTGGAATTTGTAAAATTTATTCTGAAGAAATGGAAATGCTACGGCAATTTTTTATTTACTTCTAGATGGCGATGACGGTTTAATGATTTTTAGTTCAGAATGGAGTATTCATTTTTTATTATCATATTCACTTTGGCATTCCAATGGTATATTTGGTGTTCGTCCATTATTATTTGCTGAATTGTACATTATATTTGTTTTTAATAACGGATATATGATTCCATACGTAGGTAAAGTTAGCATCAGGTTCGAATATTTTCGCCTCAGATTCATTTCTAAACTTGGTCCAACCTGGAAATTACTTGGTCCGGTCCAGGGTTTTGTAGAGTTCAACAAGCTCTACAAAACCCTGGACTTCCTTTCTCAAAACAAACAGTGGTTTATGAGAAAAACTTAAAAAACTGGTTTTTATAACAAGAAAAATTACGATTTTTCAGTAAACAATTCACAGATTCATTCAAAGACTTGGTCCGAAGCTAAACTGCACATCATTCGACAGCGCTCATCGAGACGCATCCAGAAGTGTCCTCTGATGACCTTCATCTCAACAAGAACATTAGAAAGTTTTCCAAAGATCCTTTCTCTCTCTGGTATTCAGGAATAAAAGTTCCGCAGATTCATTCTAGGACTTGGTCCAAAGCTAAATTGCACATCATTCGATAGAGCTCATCGAGGCTCATCCAGGGGTGTCCTCTGATGACCTTCAATTCAAGAAAAACATTAGAAAGTGTTTCAAATATTCTTTTTCTTTATGGTGTTTTGTCGAAAATGAGCTATTTTTCTTAGATGTTTTGTGATGAATGGAAATATTCTTGGATGTAGGTAAATGCGTCTTGCTCAGACATTTTATATAGTATGTATCAGAACTCCTGCCGATCCACTCGACTTGATGACGCAGACTGGGACCGACCCACGTCGGGTCAGGTCGGACCGAACCGGTGGCTCTTTTTTCTCGGTCCGTGCGGGTCCGACGAGAAAAGTTTTTAGTTTGGTCGGGTCAGTGTTTTTTAGGGTCCGGCACGGCCCGAGAAATTTTTAAATTTTTCTTCATATTTTCAGTTAAATTTGGCTATTTCCTAGTAACAGTATGCCTATCTAGTGAATTCTGTTGAGAAAAGAAGAGTTTGATCACTGGTCAATTCAGGTGACTGATGATAGAAGAAGAAGCAAATACACCATGTAAAGGAATTCTATCCTTTATTGAGTTTATTGTAGAATAGACTCTCTAATATGTACTGCTCTATATATAGTACAGAAGACAAAAGGAGAGTGATGAAATATGAATGGAGAGAGCAAATGATAGAATGAACAATGGGAGAGTAATAGAATATGACTGACCAAAAACTGAACTAA